CAAGGCCCTGACGGGCAAGACACCGTTCAAAGCTTGGTATGGGCGCTAGCCAAGCGTGTCCTTCCTCTGGACATTCAGCTACATCAGCCATGTCAGGAAGATGAAGCTAATCCTCACCAAGCTAGAGGACAGGAGCACACCAATGGTGTTCCTGGGCTATGCGGAGGGTACCAAGGCGTACCGGCTCTACGACCCATGTGGAGACAAGGTACTTGTCTCGCGCAACGTCATGTTCGATGAGAAGACGGCTTGGGACTGGAACAGTCCAAGCACGGGGGAAGCTGGCGGCTTCACCAGCACCTTCGTCGTCGAGCACTTGGTCATCCACGGTGGTGGAGACGCTGGGGAAGAGGTGCTGAGCACTCCAGCAACAGAGCCGAGCACTCCTGGTGTTGTGCCGAGCACTTAAGGAGGGATGTCGAGCACTCCGGGAGGAGTGCTGAACACTCCTGGAGGGATGCCGAGCACGTCAGGAGTGGTGCCGGGACAGTGGTGGCGGGAGGTTCTACAGTGGTGGCGACCACTCCAGGACGGGTGCCGAGCACTCCCGTAGTAGAGACAAGAGGTCTTACAGTGGTGTCGACCACTCCAAGACTGAGGCTCAGCGCTCCTATAGTGGTGCCGAGCACTGCAGGAGTTATGACGAGCTATCTAGGAGTAGTGACGAGCACTGCAATCGGGATGCCGAGCACTCCAGGTGCTATGCCGAGCACTTCAGCGGAACAGGGAACTCCATCGACTCCGATAGAGTTCTCCTCACCTCCAAGTGACATCACTGAGTTCGTGGATGCCTTCCACGAAGGTGAGGAGGTGCGGTTCCGCAGGCTGGATGGCATCGTCGGCGGCACAGGGCCCTTAGGCCTAGCTGGTTGGCTGCTCAATGACCAAGAGCTGCTGCTCGTCAGTGCAGAGGAACCACCCATGTTTGCATTGGTGGAGCGCGATGGAAACTGGCGATGGGCGATGCTGGAGGAGATGAAGGCGATTGAGGAAAACGAGATATGGTAGCTCATCGATCCACCTCTAGGATGTCGTCTGATCAGCCTGAAGTGGGTGTACAAGGTCAAGTATGACGAGCTCGGTGCCATTGTCAAGCACAAGGCGCGTCTCATTGCCCGAGGCTTTGTTCAGCATGAGGGCATCGACTTCGAGGAAGTCTTTGCGCTAGTAGCGCGCATGGAGTCTATCCATTTGCTACTAGCCTTGGCAGCAGCAAAGGACTGGCGCGTCCATCACTTGGACATTAAATCGACCTTACTCAATGGCGAGCTGGCGGAGACTGTCTTCGTCAGGCAACCTCTGGGTTTCGTCGTCAAGGGAGCGGAGCACATGGTGCTCCGACTGCACAAGGCGCTCTACGGGCTACGGCAGGCCCCACGAGCGTGGAACGCCAAGCTTGATGCCACGCTGGGCGAGCTTGGGTTCCAGCGGTGCGCAACCGGAGCACGCGCTCTACACGCGGTGACGGGGGAAGGAGGAGCTCATCATCAGCATGTATGTGGACAACTTGATCATCATCGGCGCGTATGGAGGACATCGATAGCTTTAAGTGTGAGATGGCAGCTCGTTTTCGGATGAGCGATCTCGGGGCACTCTCCTACTACCTCGGCATCGAGGTGAGACAAGGGAAGAAGGAACTCACGCTTGGTCAGAGCGCGTATGCCTCGAAGCTATTGGAGCGGAGTGGCATGGCTGAGTGCAAGCCATGCATGACTCTGATGGAGGAGGGGTTGAAGCTGACGAAGGCCAGCACCGCGGTGAAGGTGGATGCAACACTCTACCGGAGCATTGTCGGCGGTCTGCGCTACCTAGTCTACACGAGGCCGGACATTGCGTTCGCCATGGGCTACGTCAGTCGCTTCATGGAGGATCCTCGAGAGTAGGCTACAGCTCACTGTGTTCAGCGATGCAGACATGGCAGGGGACATCGATGAACAATGGAGCACCTCTGGCCTGCTCATCTTCCTCGGGTCGGCTCTAATTTCATGGCAGAAGGTGGTGGCGCTGTCTACGTGAGAGGCAGAGTATGTAGCGGCGACCACAGTGGCGTGCCAAGTTATGTGGCTACGTCGGCTGTTGGGTGAGCTGACCAGTGCGGAAGCTCACCCACCAGCACTGATGGAGGACAACCAGCCCACCATCGCCCTTGCGAAGAATCTGGTTCTCCATGACCGGACCACGCACATCGACGTGAAGTTCCACTTCCTCAAGGACTCTATCGATGAAGGGCAGATCGTCATCGAGTTTGTCGAAACTGGTCGGCAACTCGTGGACGTTCTCACCAAGCCGTTCGGACGTCTTTGATTCACGGTGCTGAAGGAGATGATCGGCATGGAGGGGGTACAAGGGATAGCAGTAGGATTAGGGAAAGAATTATTAGATAATCTACTGCTTCCTTGTATGAACACACAGCAAGGGAAGACGGCACCGAAAAGGCTCCCTGCTGTGGTACTGTAGCCGCTGTAGGGGCAGGCGCTGACCGGCTCGCCTGCCTCACTGTAGACACGGCAGGGATAAGCGCAGAAGTCAGTCCTGCTGTGTTATCTAGTCACTGTTGCAGCAGGGTAGCTGTACTAGGACTAGATGGATAGAGTTGTATAAATAGTTTACCACTGCAACTCAGTAAAGAAAGTTTAGATTTGCCATCTCCTATACAGGGCTCTGACCAACGCTGATGTCTCTGCTGTGTGTGTATGTCCTGTTCTCCCTCTTCTTCTACCTACGCCTGGCTTGCTCGACTGTGGTCGGCAAGACTGGTGAGTGGTTGACTCACCTGAGCCGGTGATCCTGTGGGCTAACAGACCTCTGCCCTTTCTCTTCTATTCATTGGCTATATAGCAGCCCATAAATCTTTTGCTCCAGAGTTACAGTTTAACCGAATTATCAGACATTGGTAAGCATGGAAATTGAAAAATCTTTAACCCATATTTGGAACGCATATACAAGAATTTTTACATGAATCTGTCTAGAAAAAATCTGGCATATTAATTCATAAAGCATCTCTAGGAGTTTTTCTTAAACTCACTCTTTAAATCATTGTTTAGAAAGCCATTTGAATTAAATTGCTCTTTATATCTTTTCACACTTCAATAATTTTTTAATATCTTATACACTATAAGGGCTTGTTTGGAGACGCTCCGTGCGACTCTGACTCCGTAACTGTGACAGTACTGTGGTGGAGCCGGTGGAGCCCCAAATGTGTAGCTCCTTCATTTTCTTAGTGTATTTTTGGTTGGAGCCAGAATCGTTTTAACTTGTGAACATTGCGCAGAATCCAAACGAGCACTAAAAGAGCCAATACTGTGCTCCATCTTTGTTTAGTGATAAATCCAGAATAAAAAAAAAAATATTTGGCGTTCTAATTTTAAAAGATATTAAAGAATATGTTTTTACTAAAATCTCTATTCCTATCGATGAATAAGAATATAGAGAGGCCAGAGGTTCAAGACCTTTGTAAAATCCTGCGAAATTCAGCATACACAGTATGGATTACTAAAATGTCATTTTTTTTCAACCATCATTTATCTCGAGCGTCCGATTTCTAATGGACCATTCAGATACATCTGGTACGACACCCAAAAGTCCCAAACCGGCCCCACATTTGGCTCAGACTTTTGGGAGCTCGTGCTCTCCAATTTTGGCTGCGTTCGCTTGTCTGGTTTTACCAGACCAGCCAGCTCCTCCTCCTCACAACAACCAGTCAGTTTCAGCCGCTACAGTGTTTCTCTCTCACAACAACTAGCCAGTTTCAGCTAAGTTTCAGACTAGCGAATGGGGCCTTTGTGACCAAACCCCAAAGGGTTAATTGGATCTATGCCATTATAATTTCTTCGTTTCTGAAGAACGCCATTACTATTCGCCTATTTGGAAGTATACCATTATAATTTTTCGTTTCCCACAAAAATGCCACTGAATACGTATGGACACAGCCTGGGCCCAGCCGCAGGCGTATATGAAGACGTATAATTCATCTTCCCTGTCACTGACACGCGGGTCCCACATGTCATCTTCTTCCTCCTCTTCTCCGAATCTCTCTCTCCGGTTCTCTCTCTCCATCCCGAGCACCAGGCCGCCGCGTCACCATTGCCGGGCCTAGCCCGAGCTCCCCAACCTCCCACCACAGACCACCTCCGGTTCCATACGCTCCACCGTTGGCACCGCAGCGACACCACGAGGCCGCCCCGCTGCTTCTTGTCATCGATCCGTGCCCACAATGCCATTGCCGCGCTCTCCCAAGCGCTGCCGCCGCCATGGCCGCACCGGGGTTGAGCTCTTCGATCAGCCCCGAGACACCACCGTTCACTTCGCCGCTTCATCCGTTAGCATCGCAAGGAGACAGCGCATCAAGCGGCAGACTCTTTGGCATCAATCCGCGCTTAGAGCACCTCCTTCCATCCTCACGAGAATCTCGCCGCCGTGTCGCCAAGTTCCGCTTCTGCACAAAACAACAACCGTGACCAGTACCCTTCCGGCGTCATGGGCCCCACCAATGAGTTCGGCGTGGACGCTCCTCCTCCGCCACTCATGGCCTTCCTCGGTGACCGGAACACCAAGTCCGGCATGCGCCCGACGCGTCGACCACCTCTGCTATCGTCTTTGCTCTTCACTTTTTCATGGCTGCCGGCGTCTTCTTCTTTGCTGCTATGCGTGTTGTTCTTCTTTGCTCGTGGGCTGCCAACGTCTTCTTTTTCAGCGTGGCGTGGCGTGTGCGCGTCGGGATGGAGAGAGATGAGAGGAGGAAGAAGAAGATGACATGTGGGGCCCGCGTGCCAGTGACAGGGAGATGAAGTATACGTCTTCGTATACGCCTTCAGCTGGGTCCAGTCTGTGTCCATATGTATTCAGTGGTATTTTTGTGGGAGACGAAGAATTATAATGACATACTTCCAAATAAACGAATAGTAATAGCGTTCTTTATAAACGAAGAAATTATAATGGCATAGATCCCATTAACCCAACCCCAAACCCCAGGTCCCTGCCCAACTCGATCCAACCTCGCCATGGACACCTCCGACGGCGAGGCTACTGCCGCCGCTGCCGAGACCAAGAAGAAGACACCCAAGACAGTGGCGGCCAAGGGGAAGGCGACGGGGAAGGGGAAGGCGGCTGCCGGCCCCAAGGCGTCGCCCAAGGAGAGCAGACTCCTCAAGCAGAGTGAGCTCCCTCCCCGTTCCCCTTTCTCATTAAGAATTTCGGTTTTTTGGGTCGGTTTATCTTATGCATTTTGTATATTTTCTGGGGTTTCTCCTGCAGAATCACCCGCCGAATTCTTTGCGGAGAACAAGAACATTGCCGGATTTGACAATGTGAGTTGTTCTATAAGGACTTTTAGCCGATTTGAGCGCAACATCTAGATGTCGCCCGTTTGGAAATTTAGCTAGATGCAGGTGCCCTACTATCTTGTCGACAGACAGTATCATTTCTTTATTTTCCTCCTGGTTCAAGCGCAATGTAATCTAGAAATTAAACTTAGACCACATCTGACAGTGGGGAACAACAGAAACTATCAACTATTGTTTTGATTCACGGATATTACTCATTCTAGTTGTAGTACACTTTTGGGGAGGAAATCTATCAGATACCATCGTAGTCATTATTTCACAGAGATACTGATGTAATGGTGCTGGTCAGCCTGGTAAATCCCTGTACACCACGTTGTGGGAGCTAGTTGAGAATGCCCTTGATTCCGCTGAATCCATATCAGAGCTCCCTGATATAGAGATTACAATGTAAGTAATCCCCAAATGTATTCTTTGTTGTCTTTTCTATTTTGCAGTATGGGACAGTGCCCCATAACTTTGTTTTGCCATATCCTTGTCAGAGAAGAGATCACAAGGACCAAGTTCAACACAATGATAGGGCTAGAGGATCGACAGCGTGTTGACGAGGCACTATATGATGATTTTGAGTCAGAAAAGGATCGTGAGGTAAGATGAGCACCTAGGTTTGTATTAGTTTGAACATTGTGGATGTATTGAGAGGCGTTGTGGACTTCACAAACTTACCTCTTTGTATTATTCGTAATTTTAAGTCTGATAAAGTTGTATAATTTCACAATACTTAGAAACGCCTGGCCAAGGAAGCACGTTTCCAAGAAACTCAAGCTAAAAACGCTGCACTTGGGAAGAAAGTTAAGGAGGCTCCATCTGTTCAAGGAAAAGGTCAGGGTGAGGCTGCACTTTTCAAAGTGACTTGCAAGGTATTGCCGTGACAATGTGATATATCCGACGAAAATATATTTTCTTACTTTTGATCTTTGACTAATCCACCCCCCCTCCCCCCTGTGGATGCAGGATAATGGTAGAGGTATGCCACATGATGATATCCCAAATATGCTTGGGAGAGGTAGGTTTTTAATGGTATCTTTAATCCATAAATGCTGAATCCAAACAATTTGATCCTTTCTTGCTTGGAGAGGAGATAGTACCATGATGCCCAATATCATTGGAGTTATTTACATTTGGTGCAGTTTTGTCAGGCACAAAGTATGGTTTGAGGCAAACACGTGGAAAATTTGGACTCGGTGCTAAAATGGTATTTTTTTTTGTGTACGCTGTTGAGAAGAAGCTTTCTAAATTGTATGCTGTTGTGAACTATTGTTTTGTATCTTTTTGATAGATAAGAATGAATGCAAACAGTTAGTTGATTTCTGCATTATCATGAAATGTTGAAATTGTTTTCTTTCTTTTGCTTGAGCATGACTGTCTTTGGGTTTGGATTGGGTAGTGCAAGTGTACAAACCAAGCATTACTCATCTTATGCTGTTTGTCATGATACTTTTATTTCATTTCTACATAGCCATGTAAAACTTGCATCATAACTAATGTAAAATGTTATTACAATCATAATAGCAACTTGTTTGTAGTTGGCATAATCATCCTTTTCTTTCACTTTGATTATACCTTTTAAGTGATCTATATAGTTTGTTCTCTTGTTTGTTGTTTCAAATTGATGGTATTCTTTTGCTTAACCTATCCCATGTCTAAGAGATACCCATCGTGTTTTGCCTCTGTAAAATAGCTTATGACAATAAACATGTGACCTATAGTATTCTCATGGATTATTATTGTTTTACTGGCTCTAATGTTTTGTTTACATTATAATTGTGGACTAGAACAGGCACTTATATGGTCTCGTCTGGTGCAAGCGGTAGAGTCTTACCGCCTGTGACCGGAAGGTCCCGGGTTCGAGTCGCGGTCTCCTCGCATTGCATAGGTGAGGGTAAAGCTTGCCACTGATACCCTTCCCCAGACCCCGCACAGAGCGGGAGCTCTTTGCACTGGGTACGCCCACTAGAACAGGCACTTATATGGTCAAAGATGAGTACAGGACTTCCTATTGAAATTAAGTCGTCGATGAAAGGCCAGAACTATACTTCCTTCTGTCGCCTGGACATAGATATTCATAAGTAAGTACAGCTTGTTGGCTCGTGTGTCTGTTCAACACACGTACTGACGTGATATTGCATTTTGTCTCTATTTATGTCACTTTGGTAACTTCTGCAGTTTACCTTTACCATGACCCATTTTGGTGTATTCCACTTCTCAGAAATATCCCTCATGTTCATTTACATGAGAAAAGAGAGAACAAAACTGTTACATCGGCGGGCTTTGCTTCGAAGGAAGTATGGAGGAGATCGAGGAACGCGAGAGCGAGCTAGGGCTTGGCGGGCAGGAGCCGTGGTGGCTGCGGCAAGAGGAGACGATGAACAGTAACGTGGCTGGGCACCCAAGGGAGACGGTAAGTCTCAATCCCAGGTTGAAGTCTATTATTCCATATGGTTAGCCTTTATAGGCGTTACAAGATCTGCCACAAACATAGCTAACCGACTCCACAATTCCTGGACTCCTAAAACAACTCTTAACCAATCCATCTAACTTAACTTAGACTCTAACTCTTCCTCCAAACCGACTCTGTAGACACAGACCTGACCGCGGACCTGACCGCGTGCTAGGTTAGCCACGCTGCTGCCTACGATGATAGGTCTTACCGACCATAACAAAAACTCACTGGCATGGGGCAGAGATTGAAGTTATAATTGAGGGAAATTGGACAACTCATCATGTGAGTAGCACGTTTTTGGAACATTTGAAACAAGGAATTGTGCTGTAAAGCTAATCAAGTGATCTCTTTCGTGCAGTCAAAGATCCTCCATTATATGCGTCAGATGGCAGTCATCACGCCATATGCTCAGTTCCTTTTTAAATTTCTATCTGATGCAGCAGAGTAAGCATTTCATTTATGGTTATTTATGTTGTGCGAAAGCTGTTGCCATTTTCTCATGAATGAATTTGTTTCCTGCAGCAAAAACTTAACAATAAAGTTTGCACGCCGGACAGATGTTATGCCTCCTGTTCCACTTCAAACAAAGCATCACCCATCTGTGGTCGATTTGTTACTGATAAAACGCTTAGTTGCAGAGACTACAAAGCAAAATCTTTTACAGTTTCTACAACATGAGTTCGTGAATATAAGCAAACCACATGCTGAACGTTTAATTGGTGAGTTGTATGATATGCATTGTGGCTGACCTGGTTATTGAAACTAAAAAAAATAACTAAGTCAATATAGTTTCTATCTGTTTTCAACACATCATGGACCACTATAGTCCAATTTTCTAGTATAGAATCTTTTGTGATCGTGAACAGGGTCTCTAGAAATTGCAAACAACATGAGTTCGCTTGAGCTTATCAGCCAGAATCAGCCCTACTTTTCAGCCATGGGAATAGTGTTTTTCTCTCACAACAAATCAGCCTTATAAATCAGCCACAGTAGCAATAAGTCCCGCCTAACAGGGCCTCTAGAAATTGCAGATCAATCTCCCCCAAAACGGCCACGCTATGATAAGGAAGATGAGGAACTCCTTGAGAAGGTAAATTCTGAGGAGGTGACGGAGATGACATTTAGAGACTGCTTGACTCAGCATGTTGAACAGGTAAGAAAAAAATTATATATAAACAAAATAAAGATAAATCTGAGTCTGTGACACATTTTCTTGTGTGCTCTATTTCAAGATGTGTCTGCATTACTTTTCAGAAGTCATATATGATATATTGAATAAATTCGTTGCTGATGTTGAATACAATCACGTCATATTGGTTATTGCTTTTTTTTTCCTATTGCAAAGCTGCATAACGTCTGGAGTGCTGATAAATTAGGCCATCAAACGTTCTATTTCAATCATCTGTTTATTTTTTTATTATTCCCCAGGTCGACTATGAAATGGCACTGGGCTATGCCATGCAGAGTGGAGTAAGCCAGGAGCCCCGAGAAGCAATATATTTGAACTCACTTGAAGGATCTTACAAGTTTGTCGACTTACAGAGTCTAGTCTTCGTGTTCAGATTTGTTCCTTGAGAAGGAAACTTACACGTCCACCGCCCTCAGGCCCATCAATACCAAATTCCCATAGTTCTTAGGATGGAAACTGTCCATCAATTGTATTGATATTGTACCTCTTGAACTTTATGCTTAAGCTGTTTTGACTGAGCTATTCATGTAGCGTAGGCATTAGTGCATTACAAGTTGCTAAGTAGCTTGAACCTAGGATGCCTCTGTATGTTGCATTTATGGAGGCAATAATATTAATTACATGTAATTCAAACTAGTGCATTGGGTTCAAAAGTTCAGTGCTCCATTCTTCAAAATTGTTGACTTGCGGTGCTCAGAAGTCAGAACTTGAGACAGTTATAATTCAGAAGGAGCAAAAATATAGAAGTTAATGCGGCTGCTTGCCATATAAAAGTTAATGGGGCGTGGCAGGTCTTTTTTTTAAATAAACATCACATTTTTTTTGTGCTTTTAATGTATTTTTACTTTTATGCCAACCAATTTGCATGATCCTTGTTACTGCTATTGCCATATTCTGATCCTTAACTAATTGGCCACTTCTTTATTTCTTTTTTTCCTTTGATAATTATGTTCTGTCCACCATGACATCTCTCCTCACCTAGTGAACTAGCTCGTCCTCAACCTGCAATGTTGGATAGAGATTTGATGAATGTTGCATCCTCCATTGAATTTTATGTATCCAGTTGATTTGCCCATTTGATTAGTAATCGGAGGGTGCCTCTATATAGTCGAACCCATAGTATCTTTTTTCCTGGATGTGGTAATGCATGCCCTTCGTGGATGATTGGTACTGGTGGTCGTTGTTTAGCTATTGTCCATGGAATTGCTTGGGTAGACTTATACATGGAAAGGAAAACATTGTGGATTCTGCTAGACGGTGGCAATTCCAATCGATAAGCAATTGAGTATTTTCTTTCTATGATTCTGAATGGCACAAAATATTTAGGAGGTAATTTTCTTTTGTTGCTGGTTGCTATTGCTATGGCTTGTCATGCCAGGAGTTTTAGCTATACATAATCTCCGATGTTGAAGTGTCTCTCAATGGATGTGCTTCTGATTTACAGTGCTTTTGATAGAGGTTCTAGGCTTCTTGCAACCTTTCATGAGTGGTAGTCAACAAGTTCTCCCTTTTAGTTTCAGACAATAAGTCTTCCAATGCACCTATATCAAATGTTTTTATTGTTGCAACGATGTTGTTTGTAATGCTGAGTGGTAGGATGTCTTGTAGCAATATACTGCTCAAGGTAGCTATTGTATCCAATCTTTGGATTTATGACCTGAAAAGCAGCATAAACACATTACGATTACCTTGTTGACACCTTCTGATTGGCCATCTGATTGATGATAATCTGTTGAATTCATGTTTAACTTAACCTATGATAATTTGAACAATTGCTTCCAAAATTAACTTGTTAGGACCATGTCTCTTGTCACTTACGATCGCTCACTGATCAGAACATATGACAATTCTGCACTATTATGCATATGTATTTGGGAAAATATGTCTTTAGATTTTATCGATGGATTAAGCAAAAGTTTTAGGAAAAACAGTAACCTTTACAGAGGTGATAGATTCTCAAAATATGCTCAGTTTATACCATTGGTCCATCCATACACAGCCGCTACAGTGCGCAGAACATCTGAACCGTCCAATTGTCTCCATAGCAGCGTTGGTCTTCGGGGTGAAAACTCAGCAAAGGCAAATCTCAGTTAGCTTGAGTCAGATCTGATTCAGTGTTGCTGCACCGAGAACCGAGGAGAACATGGCGGGGGAAGGCAACGGCCGCGCGGAGCTTCCCCGGATCGCGGTGATCGGCGCTGGCATCTTTGCGCGCACGCAGTACATCCCAAGGCTCCGCGAGATCGCGCACCTCGTCGTCCTCAAGGCCATCTGGAGCCGCACCCAGGTGTGTGCCCACCCCCCCACAAATTCACGGCTCAATCAGTCCCTCGGCATGCAGCATTGGAAATCGCTGTAACTACTGCACTATACATGCTGGAAGTATGCAGTCCCTGCATAGGCGCAGTGCGTGATGCGCTGCAGCAAAGTGGGATTGTAGTGTCTGACTATTTTCGCACATTCCTTCAGGAATCTGCAAAGGCGGCCGCGGAGCTTGCTCGTGACTTCGCGCCTGATATCTAGTGCAAATGGGGTGATGCGGGCCTGGAGGAGATCATGGGAGATAGTTCAATCATGGGCGTTGCTGTTGTTCTCGCTGGGCAAGTCCAGGTCGGTGTTCCCACTCCGAAGAGTTGACATAGCATGAAGCATTGCTGTCTAGTTCACTTCACAATTACATGATCAAGCCAAGCAAGAAACTTTTTTAATGATACTTTAAAATTTTACTATTACTGAACATTGTATCCTTAGATTTCTTCATACAAAGCTATTAAGTTTTACATTTTTGGTCACTATTTCAGATAACTACTGTTTGACGCAAAATGCAATTTCTTGTTGTTTCTGATCATCCACAAGCCTGCTACGGCTGTGTTTTCGGCGCTCCATTTCTTTCAATAACCAATTGTTCAATATTTTGCTGCAATTCTCCATGCCTTATCTATTTGTCCAATGATAGTCACTGTTCCAAAATCATTTTATGTTAACTATTTTCTTAATTCCACTTCACTTCTGGATAGAAATGATACTATCAGAGGCTAAGTTTAGTGAGGGCCAAAGTGGACCATGCATTTTGCCACTTGCTAATGGAATACTAACCTGCTCCCCTCTCCTTTGCATTTCATATCATATTTGCCCCCTCTACTTTCATGCCCAGGCTCTGCCACTGGATCCTATGTTGGATTATGTCGTCAATCTAACAACCTGTTGAGTCGTATTGTCCAAACCTGCAGGTTGAGCTTTCCCTAAAGATGCTAAAGGCTGGAAAGCATGTTATTCAAGGTAAATAAAAATACAAAAATGATCTTAATGACATGGTTTGCGGTACTTTAGTAGCTGCAATGAAAGAGGAGTCCAATTTCATCCTTAAGCAAAAAAGGATTCTAGTTCTTTCTCTTTTTATCTTATTAGTTTGTATTTTTCTGCTAAATGAAAATAGGCAATGCTGTCAAATGTTCTAATTTGTTTATTGCTGTTTGCATGATATATTTTCCTGTGCCATGAAGAGAAACCTGCTTCTGGATGTAAGTACATTTTGCTTTCTTTATATCTTTTGTTAGCGTTATAGTGGATAGAAGGTACATGTACATCTGATATGCATTTTCATAAAATTTTTAGCAACAACAGAAGCAGAAACTGCACTGTCAATCTACAACTCATTTCCAAACCAGTTCCCGCATAAACCCATTTGGGCTGTCGGAGAGAACTACAGATTCGAACCTGCCTTTATTGAGGTACAGTCGCAATATTCTCTTTTTTTGCCCCAGTTGGTGTTTAACTAGTTTATGTCGGTCATCTAATCTGTTTATTCTTATCTACAGTCAAGCAAGCTGCTCAATGATATCGGGGATATGATGCACATCCAAGTTATCATCGAAGGGTCAATGAACAGTTCAAACCCATATTTCAATAGCACCTGGAGACGCAATTTTGTGGTAAGGAGCATTACTGTGCATTTCCCCCATGTGTTAGGTACTCCATCTTCTATTTCCATAGTGGCTCTTATACCTTATAAAATTCCAAGCTGCATCACAAATATGTGAAGTAGACAATGGGTAAGGACTAGTTAAGTTTCAGATTACTGGAATAGCTCATGTGAGGTTCATTGGTTATACACATTATATGCTAATGTTACTAAACATTAGGTATTTGATTGTCAAACCGAAAGGCATTTTTTTCCTGCAAAACTATCATTGTGAATTTAACTTTCTAGTCAATAAAATTATAGTACTCTGTTTGCTTGTCGAATGATAGTTTTCCTGGTTTTCTATTTTACAGTACAATTCAATTATATATAGGTGCTGGTAGCATATGTTATATCACATTTAACTAAATTCTCTAGTTCTCAGTTGGCTTTTGCTATGTTACAGTTATCTCTCTGCTGGATCATTTGACTTCTGCAGTTTTGAAAGATCCAAACACTTTTGTAGATGCCCTTTTCAGTAACTATACTCCTGCAAATATTTTCTGCTGTCCTCTGCAAATGGTGTATCGCCCAGAGCAGTATAGAAATGTTTCATTGTATTTTAACTCAAGATGCTGCCCTTGTCCTTACTTCGATAACTTTACATTGCAGGGTGGTTTCATTCTGGACATGGGTGTTCACTTCATTGCAGGACTACGAATGGTAATTTCTCCATGTTATATTTCAAAGTTTGAAAAATATGGATCAGGTTCTGGCCTATGTTACCAGAAGCAACACTGCTGAGTTAATAACTGTAATCAATTTTTTGAATTTGGAACCTCACATCAGCATAGAAAGTTGAAGTGGTCAGATTTGCCACCTTGGAACTTTTTTGATAGTTATATCCTTTGGTCAAGTGGCTTAGCAATGTTTCTACTTACTGAATTGATGTGCCATTTAAGATGACAAATTCATTCACTAATTCCCTTGCCTGCTTTGTTAAGATGAGGATCTTTCTCTAACAGCTTGTAGGTTCAGATATCACAAGTGTATCATCTATCTCCCGTCATGTGGATATGGCTTTGCCGCCACCAGATAACATATGTTCCCTTTTGTAAGTTTCCGAAATAGAAAGTGATTCGTGAACCAATTTTGTTTCATAACTAACAGATGTTCGATGACTTTATGCAGCCAACTGGAAAATGGATGTGCTGGTGTCTTTGTGTTTGCAGTCAATTCAAGATCACCAAAGGTTGAATTGAATCTCATTCTAAATCCTTTACGGCAATCACACATGCCATTCTATCTAATATACAAATTTATATATCTTTGGTCACATACTCTGTTAGTGTTTCTCAGTTCGTTAGTAATTACACAGATATTATGGCGGGTCGATGGAACAAAAGGAACAATTCAGGTAGAACGTGGAGTTGATAGTGGAAAACATGGCTACCAGGTAAAAAGACCATTTTTTCTGAATATATCAGTTGAGCTGATGCTTGCTACCTTTGCTGCACTGTTTATGCAGTTGCACTGTACTGTCATAAAGGCTTTTCCTCTTTGTTTTATTTTCACCATATTATGATAGTTCTGTATGACAGCGTTATTAATGAAATCGATTGTTACGAAGTAGTTCTGTTCAAACAAATATGTTTGTGCATAAATATTTTACTTATGAACCACCTCATGCATTTGCAGGTGTTATTCTCTGGTGAAAATGGGCAGTGCCAGAAGACATTTTACCCGTTCTGTGGAGTGAATGAAGAACTGAAGACATTTGTCCATGACATGTTGGCGGCTGGCAAAGTAGTGCTATTAGTGTTAATCAGTTTCAAATTATTTTATTCTCTCCTTTCACCAAGAAGCATTCATCGAGATACCTTGGACTTCCTCTTTTGAAAAAGAAACCATGATCTAAGTTGCAGCTGTTGTTCCATTTAGGCAAATATAATATTGCAACATAAAGTTTGAAGTGTAGGAGAGTCCAGGTGCTAACAAACACTTGTTAGAATATGAAAAGTGACTCAAAATTATCCTCGTATAGAACGTCTCGTTAGTTTGTATGAATTGGAATTGACACAAGAAAGTTGATTCTTTACTTTGCTTCATTCAGTCCTTACAAAAAATCGCTTCATTCCGGTTTTTAATCTTGGCACTAAGCAAAAATGGTGATGCAGGATGGAGATCACAAGGCTGAACCCCGCAGTTTTTATGTAGAAGGCGCCTGTGATGTTGCCGTGCTAGAAGCCATGTTGGAATCTAGTGCGAAGCAAGGAGCCCCAGTTCAAGTGAAGAGATTCTAACAGATCTGAAATATCACATAAAAGAGGAGACTACGTTTCTTCAAGGGTGATTTGTCCATTGGAACATCATAGATTTTCGGTAGTAGTAAAATGAACACTGTTCCAAATTCATGTTCATACCCTTGAGGGTATATATGAAATATATATAATGCTAAAATGGCTCATAGAATCAACATTCTTTCGCTGAGATCTACCATATTTGCCCAGGTATATTTAACCTCATAAAAATCATGTACCTTTTCTTATAAGGACCACATCTTTTTTTCCTTGTTTACTTTTTTTTTTGGCTGCAGCTCTGCAAAGGTGATTTATATTTTGTGGAAAATCAAGCTGAAATAAGTCTTGTGAGAATTCATGCCTGATCTGTGATTTACATAACGAACATTTGTGTTCACGAGAAACTAAAGGTTGCTACCATTCAGAATTACCCTGAGCTCTGTCGGCCCAATCTGTCATTGGTCTGTTATATATGGGGAGCATAAGTCGCTGGGGCACCTGTCAGGGACTTGGCACTAACATGGTATCCAAGCTTTCGAATCACGATTTTCATGGATTTGGTACAGTCCTAGTCCTAGAAAAAAATTATATAAGCTATCGCGAGAGCTGATGTTCCTTGTGTTTTAGGATTAATTAAAAAAGAATTTGAAACTTGTACATAGTATATTAGAAGATAAACTGTTAACAACTTGTACTCAGGAGGTACTAAATATAATTGTACAAGCAGAATACTGTAGATGGAAGTACTTAGAGCATATTTGGCGGGGGGCTCCGGGTGTATTGCTCTTTCACCGAAGCCAAGAGGCTGGAGCGGCAAAACGCAGCTCCGCGTCCGTACGACCCAGTGACTCCTGCTCATCTATTCGGTGTGAGAAGCGCTCCTCTGTGTGGCTCCTCTGGCTCCGGTATTGGCCTTAATGAGTAAGAAGTGATGAGGTGCTTAAAAAACAGCAAATAGGATGCCTTGATGGGCTCTTGTGAGCTGCTGGAAATAGCTTGAAAAGCTCAAAAGTCTGCTTTTTATGTATTTGCTTTTAAAATTAATCAAATGTATAAGTTGCTCAAAAAAAAAATCAAATGTATAATACCTGTGACATCCTTCAAAACTGTACCCTAAAGAAGTCAACAAAAGCTCATCTAGAACTGCTTTTGGGTTCTAGTAGACTAGTACAAGTAAACTTTTGGCTTTCAGAAGTCACTTTTAGAAGCAGTATGTTCGCTTCAGCTTTTGTCCAGAAGCCAAAACCAAAAGCTAAAGCAAGCAGTGCCTAAGTAGGGCTTGTAACTGTTTTTTGAGGATAAATGGCCGGTGCTCTGCCTTTGCATTATAGTAGGGGAAAATTGAAGTACAAAGTTAATGGAACAAAAGGGAGAAAGAAAAACCAAAGAAACTATAAGAAAAGGACATCAAGAATATGTACAGCAGCCTACGTCTCCTTGAAATGGAGGGATCACTGCTCCTCCAGTTCCCCCCAGGCTTGCTGGTGTGCCTGTACATCAGCTTTGATGACAACCATAAGGTTTTGCTCAGTTTGTGCCTTGTTGTCAAACACTCTTCTGCATCTTTCCTTCCATAGGTTCCATGCAGTGTACACGATGATTGTTGCTCGCAGATTTTGAGAGCTGCACCGCGTCTTCCTCCTGGGTTCAGCTTCGTCCACCAGTCACTGAGGTTGGATATGGGCAGATTTTGTTTCAGTTGTTGTTCTCCGGACCAGAGCTCCACCTGTTGCCAAACCGATCTGGCATATGAACAATTAGCCATCATGTGTGTGTGTGACTCCTACCTCACATAGCAAAGTTTGCAGATCGGGTCAGCTTGGCCTCCTCATGTAACATCCCAGATGTTAAAAAGCAGTTAAAACTTGATCATGAGCATCATCAAGCATAATTACCCAGCATTGTTTCATTAATGCATTTTATGTTTCATTTATAGCATACATATGTTGCAATTGTGATGTTTCACATGTTGCATGAAATGTTACCTTTGATATCAATTCAGGAACTTTGTGAATTTAAATATGAAAATTTGCTTAAACAATTAAAATTTGGTTAATATAAACTTTGTAGTTCAAGGTATTCTTTATAATGTAGAATCAAAAGTTTGCTGTGCTTCTAAGTCAAACATGTTAAATCTGTGCTCCAAATATTGAGTTCAATAGCTAATCTTCACTTAGCCATTTTGACTGTCCCTGAAATGCAGTTATTAAGTTCAATTTTTGGGTATTTATCAAATCAATTTTCACAAATAAAAGTTGGACAAACTTTGTTTCATTGATTGGTAAAATATTTGAACTATGATAATGTATAGTTGGTTGAGATGTTCGTTAGATGGTTGATCAATAATTAATTGCTCAAATATGCTTAACTGAAACAGTTTCCAAACCCTAACTGAATTGCAATTTCTAGTTTTAAAGTGCTCCTTTTCAAAATTCAAAACATTCAAAACTAACAAGTTTTTGGGGGTCAGTTCTTTAAGCAATGTTGAAGATCATTGATCGATGAACAACTTTGCTTAAGGTGGATCACGACGTTGCTTAGCAGAATCCGGAGATCAAGCGCAGTGTTTACGCTGGGTTCAGTCGCTACAGTAGCCTCACCAGCAGCAGCCTCGCTGCCACGCAGCTGCTTGCGCCGCCCTCCGCACGCGCGACGCGCATCTGCTTCGCGGTGGCACTTCCAAGTAGGTGCTGGCGAAGCTGGAGAAGCCGCCCACACCGTCTTAAGCCCGTGCCGGCCGCAGTCGCCTCTCCTCCTTTTTCCTCGCCGTCGACTCAACTCCGTTCACCGGCAAAATTGGTCACGCCCGCTCCACCTCCGTCCAATTCCCCGCGCCCATAGCTCTGCCTTGACCCCGCACGTCACCTAAGCCCGCTTACCTCGCCTCTCATCGCCAAACGCAGCCGCGCGTGCCGTTTCCATCGCGGCAGCACCGCCATGGCCGCCGTGGTTACCTCCACCATGGCCAGCCCGCTGGGGCGCATCTCTCTTCTTTTCATTTGATGTTCTAGCTCCCTTGTGATCTGGTGATGCTCATCGGCCTCTCGTTTTTATCGCTACCGCACAGGTCCCGCCAGAATGTGAGCTCGCCGCCTAGTCCACACCGCCGTCATCGTCCTTCCCAATGGCAGCCGCCCCTGATTCACCTTTGATATAAATTCAGGAACTTTGTGAATTTAAATATGAAAATTTGCTTAAACAATTAAAATTTGGTTAATATAAACTTTGTAGTTCAAGGTATGTTTTATAATGTAGAATCAAAAGTTTGTTGTGCTTCCAAGTCAAACATGTTAAATTTGTGCTCCATATATTGAGTTCAATAGCAAATCTTCACACTTAGCCATTTTGACTAAGTCCCTTAAAGGCAGTTATTAAGTTCAATTTTTGGGTATTTATCAAATCAATTTTCACAAATAAAAGTTGGACAAACTTTGTTTCATTCATTGGTAGAATGTTTGAGCTATGATAATGTGTGGTTGGTTGAGATGTTTGTCAGATGGTTGATCAATAATTAATTGCTCAAATATGCTTAACTGAAACAGTTTCCAAACCCTAACTGAATTGCAGTTTCCAGTTTTAAAGTGCTCCTTTTCAAAATTCAAAACCTTCAAAACTAACAAGTTTTGGGGGTCAGTTCTTTAAGCAATGTTGGAGATCATTGATCGATGAACAACTTTGCTTAAGGTGGATCATGACGTTGCTTAGCAGAATCTGGAGATCAAGCGCAGTGTTTTCGCCGAGTTCAGTCGCTATAGTAGCCTCGCCGGCAGCAGCCTCGCTGCCACGCAGCTACTTGCCGCTGACTGCTTGTGCCACCCTCCACGTGCGTGACGTGCACCTGCTTCGCAGTGGCACTTCGAAGCTGGTGCTGCCAAAGCTGGAGAAGCCGCCCGCACCGTCTTAAGCCCGTGCCGGCCGTAGTCGCCTCCCTCCTTTTTCCTCGCCGTCGGCTCAACTCCGTTCACCGGCAAAATTGATCACGCCCGCTCAACCTCCGTCCAATTCCCCATGCCCATAGCTCCGCCTTGACCCCGTGCGTCACCTGAGCCCGCTTGCCTTGCCTCTCATCACCAAACGCAGCCGCACGTGCCGTTTCCATCGCGGCAATGCCACCATGGCCACCATGGTTACCTCCACAGTGGACAACCCACTGGGGCACATCTCTCTTCTTTTTGTTTGATGTTCTAGCTCCATTGTGATCTGGTGGTGCTCATCGGCATCTCGTTTTTATCGCTACCGTGCAGGTCCTGCTAGAATGTGAGCTCACCGCCCAGTCCATGCCGCTGTCACCATCCTTCCTGACGGTAGCCGCCCCTACTTCACCTCCGCTTCAACCACCAAGCCTTGCAAGTTGCGGTGAGTATTGTGCTCTTTTGTTCACGGGTTCACAGTTCTTTTGAGTACTCTAGTTCTTGCTAGCTGGATTAGAGTAGTAATCATTAGCATAAGCGAGGTGCTTAGGCTATCGGCTACCTGTGTTTACTCCCTGCTCCCTGGTTGCGTGGTAGTAGTGGGTGGTGACAGCCCCATCTATCCTCTGTAGTCCACTCCAAATTGAGCACGTTCTTAAATTAGTAGGACCATAGTCACATCGGTAGAGTTATTTATTAGCGATGCTTTACCATCTAAGCGACCTCCTAACATGAACACTAGAATCATAAGCCTTGTTTTGCATAGGGTCATAACCATAGGAATCCTCTCTACTCATACCTTAAGCCTTGATTGCTATCCCTGAACAAACTAGTGTTTAGACGACATACACACGTTTCTCTGTGGATACGATACTCGATAATACTCTGGTGAAAACTACTTCGATACCCGTGCGCTTGTGGATTTTGTCTCTGTGTGCCACCATAGGTGTCAACAAGTTTTCTGGCGCCGTTGCCGGAGAAACAGTTGCTGTGATTTCATCGAACCAGGTTTGTCCTTGTATCTTTTATCTTTAAGCATGGATAACATCATGCCTATCAATCAATTTGCTGCTCCCACAGGCGCACAACTAG